TTAGCTCATAAGAATGGGATTTTATTTGGCCCAAACAACCTCAAGCAAACTTGAAATTACACTGAGGGCAGTACAGTCAATGTGCAGCTGAATGAGTGAAGAGAAACTGCCAGGAAACATCAAACATACTTTTAAGCATTTAAACCAGTGTCTTTTGAGTATCTGAAATGAGGTGAAAATACATTAAAATCCAACCAGATCCCTCTCTTTCCCTTGTTGCAGCCAACCCTGAATAGAGTCAGTGGGTGTAGAAATAGGAAACTATATTTTGCTTTTGCTTAGGTAGTGGGGGTTTACTATTTAAAAAATAAAAATTAAAAAAAAAAAAAAAAGCCTGACCTACAGCACATTCTGGAAGGGCACATATCGAATATCCTCAGCTCTTAATCTAAGAAGGAACTTCAGTGCTCTGGCATTGTTCTCCCCTGTGCCATTCTTATCTGACACGTAGTATCAGTTGCCAGAAATGCTGTGGGTTTATTCTGTACTTTGTATTCTAATATAAATGGAGCTGAATAGTTGTCATAGTCCTCTGGGCAGGGCTCCTTGCTGCTGCAGAGTTTAATATTGAGGTTGGCAGCACGAGGGTGGCTGATGTAATCCCTTCCATTACCGATATTTACGGCACACCACGTTGCAATACAAAGGTTTGGAGACTGGGAAGATGTGACAAGCCAAAAAAACCCCAGCCATTCAAAACTGAGCCTGGCTCTGCAGGGGTTGATTCCCCTCACTGGACGTTCACTGAAATGTCTTTTAATGCCTTCAGGAGCATTTGTGATGCAAAATTCAGGCGTAAAGCTCTGATGGCAAAGTCCCCATTGCACACCCCACATCTGACTGCAGGTCTGATTTCAGCATGAGCCAGTGACTCAGGATCACCAGCAAGTGATGTCCAGAGTCACTCCTGGGTTTCACCATTCTTTGGCCAAACATCACAAGCCTTGGTGTATTGTAACACAGGGGGAAGGGGCAGCAAACAGGAGGGTTTGTTCCTCTTTCCAGCAAACTCCTTCTACTCCTGCAGCAGCCCAGGAGCTGATACAGTGATCTGTACGTGCTGCTGATTTGTGCTTTCAAAGTCCAGGATATTTCCTTCAACTTCTTATTTACCTCCAAGTTTCATCAAACCTGCAACTTTTTTCCGAGGGGCAGAGCAGGAGCAGCACTGATCTCTGCTCCTGTGACAGGGACAGGACCCAGGGAAGGGCTGGAGCTGTGCCAGGGGAGGCTCAGGTTGGATTTTGGAAAGGTTCTTCCCCCAGAGGGTGCTGGCACTGCCCAGATCCCCAGGGATGGGCACAGCCCTGAGGCTGAAGAGCTCCAGGAGGGTTTGGACACCACTCCAGGGGATGCCAGGGTGGGATTGTTGGGGGGTCTGTGGAGGGCCAGGAGATCCCTGGGATGATCTTTGGGAATCCCTTGCAGCTCAGGATATTCTGTACTTTCACAAAACCTCCTCAAGCAGCTCTTTCAGATTCGAGGGTGGGGAGTTGAATGACTCTCCACACGTTTAAAAGCCCATTTCTGTCCTGGAGCTCTCCTGGAGGATTTGCAGCATCTCTTCTGTGAAATCAGCACTTTTGCTGGTCTTAATGGAGCCACTTCTTGTGGAAGACACTGCAAAGGCTTTGTGTGGAAAGAAGTAATTTCTATTCCAGGCCATGGAGGAGAGAATACAGCCCACCCTGCCTGGTGCTTGTGATCTGATGTGAAGAATACTCTGCTGGTGTGGTGGGAATGCAGCGTGGTGTTTCCACACAGATGGGCCCAACCCAAGGGCTTTTTTCCCCAAATTTCTTAAAGTTCAAAGGAGGTTAGTACCAAAGTGATTCCCTGAACAGTCTAATTTTGTGTTGTAGTTGCTACAGAAGTGACAAAATTGATTTTATCAAACAAATGGTCTTTGCCATACCATTCAATCAGTTTTTTGCCATTTGCAACAGCTTCCTTGTGCTGTTGGTAAAAATAATGTTGCTTTTCCAGTATGTCATGCAAAGTGATTTCAGCTGTGTTTTTTCCACTCCTGACCTCTTCAATGCTTGCATTTCAGGCAGTTTTATACATTTATTGATTACATGAGGTACTGTTCTAATTTCTAAGAAGAACATAGCCCTTAAATCATCCATACTCTGAAATGTTTTAATTTCCTCAAGTAAATAGAGCATATTTTGCCAGGAATCTTAAATGCATGATACATGGATTTGATTCCACTTTCACACAGGTCTTGTATAACTCTCTTCACTTCAGTGAAATGACTCCTGATTAGCATTGAGAAACAGGTCCAGAGTATGGGGAGGGGAGTGGGTTAATGCCATTTTTTCTGACACTGAGTGCTCTAAAAGCACTCTGAGACTGTAAACCATTACCATTTCTCAGTAAGTGCCCTCTGAGAGGACTGGGGAGGACTGAGGAGTTTTTAACCAGTAAGTCACCTCAGTTCTTTCACAAAAGAGTAGAGATTTAGCCTTTTCCACCTCACGGCTCTCTGGTGATTCCGTGGAGTCGGAAAACCGGCGGTCTTGTCATCTGCTGAGACCACAACTGCTGCCATTGGGTTAATTCCCTTCCTGGCAGCCTGGAAGCTCAGGTCTGGTCCTCTTCCCAGGCTTTGCAAGTTTTCCTGTCAGCCAGGAAGGGAAGAGTTTTACAGAAGTGCTCCAGAGAGGAGCATTATTTGCCTGCCGCGGGCTCGTCATGCCTCAGCGCCTCAACACGAAGGCTGTTATTCTCCAACAACGCCGTCAAACTCCCACACCTCCATGACTGCTCAAAGTTATGAGCACTCCCAAAATAGGGCTGGATTTTCACAGGGATAATTGAGAGCCATAACTTTCCATCAGAGAGGCTCTGTAGGTGGGAGCAGCAGCACAGACAGCAGTATCAACAGAGTCAAGGCTTTTTATGAGGATGTTATCTAATTTTATTGCAGTATTTATCCCATAATCCTATCAAGGTAGAGACTTTCTTTAAGGGATGTCTCCTGTGCACAGTTTTGGACCCATCTTTGGCCTATGTGAGAAAATCCCTATGGGGAGCTAAAAAAAAATTGACTTTATGATGGCCCTAAGCCTTGGTTCAGAAAAATGTTCATATTCAGGAAGGGGTTTAAGCTTTTTGAACATTGTTGAATAGTGCTGGCTTCAGTGAACTGATGACTAGAAAAAAATGTTTATGCAGGGTTTTGTTTTCCTTCAAAAGAATTTCCACTGCTCAGGAAACCCACTCATTAGCTCACTTCTGATGCAAATATCAGAATATTTAAATGCAAGTTAATAGCAGAGTGATATTCTCAGTCACTGGAAAAAATAATTATTCTTCTTTTAGGGCTACGTGGCCAGAAAGGCTGAATCAAAGAACATTTATAGGCCTCATTCTTATCTGGTGCTCTGCCACCTCCATCAAATAACGCCAGAGCAGAACTGCAGCAGTTGCTGTTGAGATCAGAATCTGCATATAGATATTGTGTCTCTCAAGTTCTAAAAGTACTGTTACATTTGAAGTCAAAGAGAAAAGAGAGAACAAATAACACAATTTACTGCTGCAGATTATTTTTATGCCTGTGTGCTCCACTTAAGAGAATACTCTGTAAATGACTTATTATCAAGAAAAGTTATTTGTTTGCACTAATCAAGCCTTAAACTTGGAGGCATAATACGGAACTAATTATTTTTAACTAACTAATCAACATGTTTCATTCATAAGTTGGGATTTATCAATATAGCACATGAAAGGAGAGAACATATTATTATTTCAATTTAGATAATATGCAAAAAGCAGTGTGTTTGTAATGACCTGCTTTCACTGAATATAATCAAGCTCCAAAGCTCTATTACAGGCTGGAAATAGCAGCAGCTTACTTTAATGAGATTTCTGGCTCTGGGCCCCAGCTGTTCTACGCAAGGCTCTCCCTTTGCTCTATGACCTACCAATATGTGCTGTCACCAGTAATGAGACAGGACCTATTTCCTAACATGGGGAAAAACTGGAAAGCACGAGTTCGTTCTATTCTGAGGAAACACACCCTGTTCCCCCTGCAAGGCACGAGGAGGGGAACGCTGGATATGCAACATGCCCCCCTTGCCTCGCCAGCAGAAATGTGCCATGAAACCCATCAGGTAAGGAACTCCAAGGGAAAACTGGAAGTCTCTCCTGAACTGCTTCCCTCAGCACACAGAAACTCAATACTCATTAAACTCATCTTTCTCCCCTTCAAGGACCCCAGCAAAATACTTCCCATTACCTGCAAGGCACAGGAAGGGGGAACAGTGGCAGCCATGGGCTCTGAATCTTATGGATTTTGTGGAATTATGCTCATCTCAGGGCCGCGTTGGGAATGTGCCAGGAGCCAAAGAGCTGCACTTAATTTGCCTAAAATGGAGCAGATTACCACTGCTCTCCTGTTTAATAATGGAGATGCAGCCTGGAGACTACAGATTCCAGCAAGCAATGCACCAAAAGGAGCCAGGAGATCCAGGGGCTGGAGGTACTCTGGCTCCCAGGTGGAAAACAAGGCCAACCTCAGTTTGGTCTCTCTGAATTGGACTCCTAATATTGTTCTTTTTGCCTTTTTAAATTATTGTATACCAGACTAGTCAGAAATTCTGTTCCAGAAAATATTTGATTAGCTACCATTTGGGGGGAAGGGAGGGTTATGCTATTTTTATTCTTAAGCCGTCACTTGGGTTCATTAACACTTTGCACGTGAATCTGGGGTTTTTAGGACAAGAAGCCTGTGTTTTTTTTCCCCCTGAATAACATTGTTAAGTATTTCAGGAATCTAAAATCCACAAACTATTTCTGTGCCCTGAATATAAACCTCTTTGGAAAAAGCCAACGAACATTTTAGTCAGAAAATTGGAAGGCGTGAGCTTAATGCACTTTGAAATTAAATGATTTGATGCTTTTCAATTTGTCTTTTTGTCCTTCCCAAATACCCAAAGGCACTAGCCCACTTTGTAAATGAGCAGGCTATGAGATCTTACTTTGAGAAATGAAGGTGTCACCGAGTTGCATTAAAAATTATACTTGGCACCAGCATACTTTGCAAGCCCCGTATTTTGCTAATCGGCCCGTGACACAGCCCCGCATTCCTCCTTTATTAAGAGGAATTAAATAAGCAGTTATTTATTTGAGAAGTGGGGGAAAAAAACTTCCAACTCCCAAGAGATTGAGAAGCTTAGTGTCCATGGGATAAACAGCTTTTTTCCCATGGAATTCACTGGATGGCCATTGCTTTCCAGGTGCCTTTGGTGGGGTCCCTGGACATGCTGTTCTGGATCATCCCCTGGGTGCTTCTTTTCTTCTACAATTTCAGAAATAAGATTACAAAGTGAGTTTTCAAATTTGAAACTCTGTGCCTGTGTGGAATTTTTTTTTTTTTTCTTTTTGTCCAGCTCAAGGAAGAATTCTTAAATGAAAGAAGAAAAGCACATTTGCAAAGGTCACATCGACGGATTTTGAAGTGCAGTGGTAAGAACACCACAGCCTTTGCAACACTACCTATTTTCTCTTCTCAATTATTTATGTATTTATTGTATTTTACATGAGCCATGGAAGCTAGAGGCATTTTTGCAGTGTCAGGTCATTCTAAAGTACATACCATACAAAGAATAGGGCTAGAAAATAGTTGTATGTAATACTGTTCATTAATATTACATAATTACTGCACACAGAATAGTTCTCTGGGCAGTGATAAGGATTTTTTCATAAAAACTAAAGACTCCAAGGCAATGTATTCCATTAAATGGTTGCTTAACATATGAGGGTATATCAATATATAGTACCTTCACCCAGCTGCAGCAAAATGACGAAGCCAGCTTAGTCAAATGAAGTCATTAGCATGTATAATGTGCTTTACACAAGAGTTAAAAGGTTTATAAAATCATACTTTGATACTGCAATGACCAAGCTGAGATAGGATCTAGCAAACAGCAGTTGCAGCTGCATCAGCACAAAAATGAACTGCTGGGTTTTCTCTGCAGTCTAGAGAACATTTTCTGCAGTCTTTGGAAATTGCTCTGGAATTAAAATTTTTTCTGTACGTGTAGGCTAATATTAGCTACTGACAGCTTGCCTGGGGTTTTTAGTTCAGCCTTCCTGGAGCAATTGTGTAGGATAAAATGTTGATGCAGCTTTTCAGGTCTGTTGACTGCTTTTATTACCATTGAATGTGAGCAAGTCCTGTGTCTTCTATGATACACCAGACCTAAAGGAATGTGGAGGAACATCTGAATGACTAACAACCCCATAAACAATCCCTTTGAATTTTAATATATCCCACTGAACCCTTCCTAAAATCCTTGTGCAGTAAGTATAGGATTAATTTTGACTTTAAATTTGATTTACTAAATTGTGTTAATATGCTATTGGGTGGACAAGATACAGCATAAAACTGGAGATCTGAACATCCTAATAGAAAGAAAACATCAGTTGCGGTTTTTGAAACATAAGGAACAGCTGATAATTTTTGCCTCTAGAAAAGAGATTCTTATCTTTTTTCTGCTCCTTTTCTTCTAAGGCAGAAGATGACTTAAATGAGACTTGAATTCTGTGTTTCCCCACCAACAGTGTGAAATAGATGCAGCAATCTGATGTTTCTGCAGCGTGAGCAGTGTCAGCGTTTGATGTTCGGGTGTTGAGTCACCGAGGGCTCACCTTTCCCTCCGGATGACACCGTGACAGCTGCAACCAGCAGGTGCCTGAGAGCTGGCAGTGCTTTGATTTCAAAAAGAGAGGGTTGCTGGCACGGCATTTTCACAAGGAGTTCCTTCTCAGCTCTGCAAGTCCTTTCACTTCTTCGCTCAATGGGACCTTGATTTGATAACACTGGGAGCGTATCACAAACGGCACATCTGCTCTGCCAGGATGAGCCGTGGGACTGAGCTGCAGAGCTGCTTCCTGGGGATCCCACTTGCTTTCAGCTTCAGTTTATCTGTGAGCTTACCCTACTAAATTATCATTAGAAATTCCACCTCTTGTGAGGCACACGGCCTTTTGAGCACACCTAACAAAACAGAAGATGTTCCCCTCTGCTGTGCTTCGCTGGGTGTGGGGCACTGAAAGGCTGAGCAAACCACAGACCTCAGGGTGACCTTATCACTCTCCACAGCTCCCTGAAAGGTGGCTGTGCTCAGGTGGGGTTGGGCTCTTTCTCCAGCCAGCAGTGACAGAACCAGAGGACAAAGTCTCAAGCTGCACAAAGGGACATATAGGTTGGATATTAGGAAAAAGTTTTTTACAGAAAGAGTGATAAAGTTCTTTATCTTTATCTCCCTGGGCTGACCCAGGGAGGTGGTGGAGTCACCATCCCTGGATGTGTTTAAAAACAGACTGGATGTGGTGCCAGGGTTTAGTTGAGGTGTTGGGGCTGGGTTGAACACCTCAGCTTGATGCTCTTGAAAGTCTCTTCCAACCTGGTTATTCTGTGAATTCTGTGGTTGTTTCTGACTAAGCAAAAGCAAGCACACAGATTTCTCTACACCAGTTCAGCCACACTCGGTTTTTCCTGTGACCTGAGTCACAGTCAAGCATTTATTATGTGACATTCACAGCGAGAGTGGCAGAATAAAAACAGGCTAAGAAACCTAATCCTCAGAGGAGAGCAGTATGTTCCCACTTGGGGTTTAGTCTCGCAGTGAAGAGGCTGTTAAGGGGTTTGTGATCCTGGAGATTGATGCTGGGGGGAGCCTGGGTAGAGCACAGAGCCACTGGCAGTCGTCAGCTAAAGCTGCCTGATGATGGCAGCTGGAGTGGCCAGAGGAATCCTCTCCTCCAAGGAACCCAGAAGAGTTTAAGTGCTTCCAGAAATGAATCCATTAGATGCTGATGGTGATGGTGATTAGCAAAAGGTACCGTGATGACTTAAAGTATTTCAAGTGTCATTCAGACTGAAACCTCTTTCAGGTGAAAAGTGTTGGACACATCAGGACTGAGCTGCAGAGACCGATTTGGCAGATGTGGCAGCAAATCTGGGCATGGATCTCACCACTATGTGTGAGCAAATGCTACTGAGAGAATTCTCCCATTTCCTTCTCATTTAAAAAGTCTTGACTACTTTCTGTTGTAGTGAAGGTTTTCTAATTATTTGAATCTTATGTTTCAAATTTAATCCAAAAGTTAGGTCATGGCATAAGCTATGGCAAAATCTGTGTGGTAAAGGGGTTAATTTGACACTACAGGGATTTGAGCTTACAGCTTGAGTGATTTAAAACACTGGAGCAACCTGGTCTAGTGGAAGGTGTCCCTGCCATGGGAGGGGTTGGAACTGGATAATCTTTAAGGTCTCTTCCAACACAAACCATCTGTGATTCTGTGACACTGTTGTCCTCTGTATTCTTTGAGACTCTCTGTACATCATCCAGCCACCAAAGTGAGAATTTCTTCACATGTGGTTAAATCCACTTATTTCTAGACAACCCTGACTTTCTTCAGTAATTTATTCTTCTTGGTAAATAATGCCTGCAATCCTTGCATATTGGTCAAGCATTTTTGGTCAAAGAGGTTGAATAAACAGCCACGAATCCTGCTGGGCAGCTGAACCATCCCAGCACTGGCCCTTGAGGAAATGATGTTTGAGCAAATGATGTTTGTCAGGCAAAGTGATTAAAGTCAGATTTTAGAAATTCTGGTCGTATCACTCCAGTCCATCTGCGTCTACCCTAATGCACTGCAAGGGTGTGCCTGAAATTAAATTAAGGACGTGTACTCAGTCTTTCCCAAACTATTTGTGGAACAGCAATCTGCTGCTGGAGCCAGGTCCAGGACAGAAGTGCCTGTTAACCCTAAGCTGTAAGATGATGGTAACAACATTATGACTAGAAAAATGCAGAGGAAAATAATGCTTAGTATCAGATGAGCTCACAGATGTTGCAGACAGTAAACAAAAGGGGAAATTATAACCCAGTCATTACATTTTCACAATGATATTTTCACCATATGTAAACAAGGCCATTTTCACATATAGAAACAAAGTGCCTGTGATTGTGAAGAAAAGGTTTTATTTAATAAAAAATTGTTGGGAAATACCTGGTTTGGTAAAAGTATCATCCAAATGACAGTCATGGGTCTGAGAAGGAGTCTTGGAGCAAATAAGAGGACAGCCCTCTACTAAAAGAAAACTTTTGAGGAAATTTCTCTGAGTATTTCCTTTTCAACTTGCTTTTTCAAATGGTACCTACATAGAGTTATTTTAATGTTACTATATTTTGATATTAATTTTTGAACTATGTTTTGATTTGCGCGCTGTAATCTGTCAGCGCGCAAAACTAGCGCCCATCCCCAAAAGTATGTAGTAGACAGACTTTTTGCTGCTTGCTTTTGGACTACTTAGGTTGTAGGTATGGATGAAATTCTTCTCTGTGAGGGCGGTGAGGCCCTGGCACAGGGTGCCCAGAGCAGCTGCGGCTGCCCCATCCCTGAAGCGTCCAAGGCCGGGTTGGACGGTGCTTGGCGCACGCTGGGACAGTGTTATGTGTCCCCGCCATGGCAGGGGGTGCAATGAGAAGCTCTTTAAGTCGCTGCGGAGCAGGACCGCTGCCCGTGACACCGCGCACCGACAGTGACAGCGGCCGCCCTGCCCTGCACAAACATGGCGGGCGCCGCGCTCCTCACTCCAAGATGGCGGCGCCGCCCGCATCCGCCTGACCTCCCGCCCACACCTAAGATGGCGGCGGTGCGCGCCCATCCCCGGGGTGGCCGCCCCGACCTGGGGAGTCCCTGCCCGCACCAAAGATGGCGGCGCGGCGCCGGGCGGAGCCGGAGCCGGTGGCGGGGGCGGGCCGGGGGCGCGGCCGCCACCGCCCCGGAAGCGCCGCGCGGCCCCCGCCAGCTGGTTGTCATTTGGTGCGGCCGCTCGGTCCGGGCGGCACGGGCTGGGCAGCGGCCGCGCGGGGACCAGCGAGGAGGCACCGGCTGCGGCGGCCGCCGGGGGGGTGGGGGGCGGGGAAGGCGGCAGAAAAAAAAAAAAATACGCAAAACGAGGCGGCGGCAGCAGCGGGGGCTGCGCGCCGGGGACACGTCGCCGGCTACCGAAAGCTGTCGATCGGCTCGTCCTTCCAGCTCCCCGCAGCATCGAGCCGGCGGAGATCCCCCCGTCCCCCCCCGGTGCGGCCGGTACATGAGGGGCACGGCCCGGCCGCAGCCCAGCCGAGCCGCCGCAGGGCAGGGAGCGCCCCGAGCCGCCGCCGGAGCTCCGAGCGCTGCGCCCCGAGCCAGAGCCTGCCCCGAGCCCGCCGGGAGAGCCGCCGAAACACCTTCCATGGGGGAGAGAGGAGCCCGGCCGGCCGCGCCTTCCCCTCCGTGCCGGAGGCTGCTGCGCTGCTGAGGTAAAACCCCTCCTGCCTTGCCCGGCTCGAGCGAGGGCGGGGGACGCGCGGGGCACCCACAGCCCGGCCCCGCTGGATGCCGAGCGCCTGAGGAGGGAGCGCGTTCCGGGGGCTCGCTGGGCTGCGGGAGCCGCGATTCCCGGGGAAGGAGGCGAGCCCCGCACCGCAAAACACCCTCCCGGCAGCGGAGAGCGAGAAAAAACCTCCTTCCCCTTCCTCCTGCACAACTCGCTGTCCCCTCCCTTCCCTTTCCCGAACGCTGATTTACTGAGATGAAAACCTTCCTCCTCGGACAGTCAGGACTCATATGAAGGACACGCAAATATTGGATCATAAATAAGAAGCGAGTCTGGCGAGCTCAGAAACCCAGCCCAGAAGGAGCAGCATCAAGAATCCACCCTTCTGCACAACTCACTCCCCACCCAACACACAGAGAATACTGATTTCCTGAGATAAGATCTCACCCCTTTAAACAACCACACACGCACACACACGGTGTATATTATTGCTAAATATAATAGGTTAAACCCAGCAGCACGGGATAAAGCCTCTTCTGCAACTCACTCCCCCATTTCACCCTTCTGAATGCTGAGATCCTGAGGTAAATTTTTCCCTTGTCCACAGCAAAGACTCTTTTTGAACAGGACACAAATATATATTAGATTATAGAGATGTATTAAATTATTCCAGATTTAAATCTATTTTTTGCTGCCAAGGGGTTGAGGGACCAGACGTCATTGTATTTTTTTTTTTTTCTTCCCTCTTAACTCATTTATGGGCGAGTCAAGGCTGCTGAGGAGGAAAAAAACAGGATAGTTAGAATCTCTTTATCCTTATTTCCCAGAAGCTTATCCTCTCATTGCTGTGCATTTCCTTTAGAAAAAGGAAACCTCTTATTTTGTGAACCAAAGATTTATTTTTCCCTTCCTCCTGGCCAAAGGAAGGAAACGGACACAAATTGACACATTGAAATAGTTTAAAAGATCTATCTTTTGCAAAAAGAAAAAAAAAAAAGCAAACATCTTTATCCAAATCTGAAATAAATAGCGTGGAGGGAGACACTGGAATATCTAGGGAAAACCAGGATACTTGCTAATCTTGCCTCACAAGAGGACAAGCTAAACACTAAACATCAACTTGTTCTTACAGGGAGGATTCAAACCCTAAATATAATAAATGGGGGATTACGGGTTTGGAGTGTTAGTGCAAAACAACACTGGAAATAAGTCAGCTTTTCCAGTCAGATTTCATCCACATCTGCAGCCTCCACACCATCATCAAAATGCAACCCCCAGCCCTGCTGCTTTTATAAATAATAACACAGCTGCCAATGGCAGTAGTGCTGGGTCAGCTTGGCTCTTTCCTGCTCCAGCTGCCCATAATATTCAGGATGAGATTCTGGGGTCAGAAAAATCTAAAACTCAGCAACAGGAAAAGCAGGAGTCCCTAGAAAAACAGCAGCTTTCCCCTGGCCAAAGTCAGGAAGCAGGCATGCTCTCTGAACCCGAGAAAACTAAAACTGAAGAGAACCAGGGCGATAATTCTTCAGAGAATGGCAATGGAAAGGAGAAAATAAGACTAGAATCGCCGGTTTTAACAGGATTTGATTACCAAGAGGCTTCAGGGCTCGGTACTTCGACGCAGCCCTTGACATCCACCGCATCTTCTCTGACTGGTTTTAGTAACTGGTCTGCAGCTATTGCTCCTTCTTCTTCTACAATAATCAATGAAGATGCAAGTTTTTTCCACCAGGGAGGGGTCCCTACTGCCTCAGCTAATAATGGTGCTCTGCTGTTTCAGAATTTCCCACATCACGTCAGCCCTGGCTTTGGTGGTAGCTTTTCCCCCCAGATCGGACCCCTCTCTCAGCACCACCCTCATCACCCCCATTTCCAGCATCATCACAATCAGCATCAGCAACAGAGGAGGTCTCCTGCAAGTCCTCACCCACCTCCATTCACACACAGAAATGCTGCTTTTAATCAGTTGCCTCATTTGGCCAACAATCTTAACAAGCCACCTTCTCCGTGGAGCAGCTACCAAAGCCCCTCGCCCACCCCGTCCTCCTGGAGCCCCGGCGGCGGCGGATACGGCGGCTGGGGAGGGTCCCAGGGCCGAGACCACCGCCGGGGACTGAACGGAGGGATCACCCCCTTGAACTCCATCTCGCCCTTAAAGAAGAATTTTGCAAGTAATCATATCCAGCTGCAGAAGTATGCACGACCCAGCTCGGCCTTCGCTCCCAAATCCTGGATGGATGACAGCTTGAACAGAGCTGACAACATTTTTCCTTTTCAGGTGAGCGCACTCTGTTGTATCCATAAGACAAAAAAAAAAAAAAAAAAAAAACAAACCTCCCTAAAGAGCATTAATATGCCCTGGTTGTGGGATTTCTGTGCTTGCAACTGAAAAAAACCATATGGCCAACTCAAAATGTCATAGTGGGAATGATCCTCCAAGCTGTGATTCATGGGGGTTTTTTTAACAGTGATGGTCATAAATATCTATTGCGCACTAGCCATCTGTATTGGCCACTTTGCTTCAGCTTAATACTTACACACAGACAGAAATAGCCAATGGAGAAATTCACTGACAAGTATTTCAACAAAGAGGAAAAAGGCAAAAAAAGTGCCTGGTGGAGTATGAGAGATCTGAGGCCTTTGAAGGCATTCAGCAATGTACCACATCTGAGAAAAAGTATGGACTGATTTTATTTAGTTTTACAGTATCACATGGGTTGCAGTGCAACATAATTTTTGTAGCATTTTTCGGGGGGAAACTTTGCTTTTTACAAATAATGCTAATCAGTGCAGTTTGCTCTCCTCAGGAATGGCAGCAAATTTTGGTTACAGGCCATTAAATCAGCACTAAAAATAGATGTGGATGAGATCAGTTGGTGGTCTCCTATGTTTTGCTGTGGCCTTCTCCTGGCAGGAGGCAGGTTGTCTGGCAGCTCAGCCTCTCCTTCTGGGCTGACTTGTTATGAATTTGAAAAGAACTGTATAATGTTGAACCTAATTTGCAGCAGGAATTAAACCAGAAGTCCCCTTCTTTTCATCTGACCACCAGTTAAACCCAGCTTTTATGTGTGTGTGTGCCTTTTGTAAACTCCTTTAGGGTGAATTAAAAGACCCAAGAGTTCTTTTACATTTCCAGGGTTGTTTTTCAAGCTCTTCAAATGAGGGCAAAAGTAAAATTCTCAACGTGATTGCAGTATTTCTTGCCATGCTGCAAGAACGGGGGTGACCTACTTAAATACAATTTCAAAGATACAAACTGTGCAATGTGTCTCATGATGTAAAAAACCAGAAATACATGTAACAGTGACTTTGTGGATGTGGGGATAGTTGGGTTCTTTGCAGACTGCAGGTTTTTGGTGGTGTGCAGGCCCTGCTGACAGCACAGCAGCTGCTGGCAATAACTTTCCTTCAGAGCCTTTTTTTCCTACTGCAGTGCTACTGACTGGTTCAGTATCAGGTAGAGCCCTTCTAAATTTAGAAAGCAGAGTAATAATTTATTTTAATGTCAGGATTTATAATTAATATGATGAAGCCATGTCCAGCATACCAAATTTATCCAGTGAAACCATTAGAAAAAGGGACCCAGCTGGAGCTGGTCTTTTTTCAGCCTCACTGCAGCGAGCCTTGGCTCACGGTTTGATTCACTCTGTACCCTGACACGTAGCTGATGTTGAGAGTGAC